GCGCGGGTGAGGCCCCCATTGTCTGCTGCCGCAGCGGGGCCCCGCGACAATGAGCCGCACATTGAACTGCTGCTGTGAAACAGATGGCGTCTCCCAGGCTCAAGGTGAAGCAAAGGTCAGAGGCCAAGGAGAGCAGAAAGGGGCACAGCTCCCCTGCCCACCTGCCCGGCTGGCCATGGGGAAGAGTGGGCTCCCAGGTCACCCCGTGTCTCAGCAGGGGCAGATGCAGCCACTGCCGTGCACAGCAGGCAAGAAGACGGCTCTTCCCAACCCACCCAGCGCATCCGGACCCAGGGTCCGCCCCTGGGCTCCCTGCCCATGACCCAGAGCAGGCAGCAGCCAGGCGCGTTAGGGGACATCAGGCAGCGAGAGGCGCGGGAGTCAGCCCACAGCCTGTTCAGCAGATGCTCGAGCCACCTGCCATTGCCCCGCGGCAGGGCTGGACCCTCCCGCAAGAAGGAGCTGTGGGAACACCCCCTGAAGCACGCCACGCCACGCCACCCGGGTGAGCGCGCCTGTCCCCGAACCCAGGGCTCTGCCCTCCAGAGCGCACATGGGTCTCCTGAGCAGACCTGCAAGATCACCCTGCAGAGAGGGATGGTGTAAAGGGTGCACAGACCCTGGGGCTGGCAGAGCCCTTTGCTCTCATGCTGCTGGTCATGCCAGGAGGAGCAGCAATGCTGGGCAACAGACTCCCTGACTGATTCACCCTCCCCAGCAAAGGCAGAGATCAGCTTTCCCTGACTGCTGGAAGAGATGAGCCCCCGCAATGCCACACACGGGTGGGATACCCCAACACCCCGGCCATCTGACAGAGGCATCCCAAAATCCCGCTGCAGCTCAACACACCCACAACCCAAGGGCCACAAGCCGGCTCCACCACCCATCCCAGCAAATCCAAGGGCAGACCCTGCCTGTGCACCCAGCCCAGCCCCACGCTTGACCCAGGATGCTGTAAAAAGCGGCTCCCACATCTCAAGGCAGCCAACCCACACTCCCCCTTAGAGAAAGGCTTGGGCTTCACCTCCCACCTTCCCAGCTCACCTCAGGGTGCGGTTTTCCCCGGGTCCCCCCTCCCCTCAAGATGCACCCCAGAAGCGTGGCTCCACCGGGGCTTCCCCACCACCACCCCCGAAGCCGCAGATGACCCTCCAAAACCGGGAAGAGGGAGATGGG